TACGCACCTTCATATAAGCTGCCTCAGACTCTGCGATTGTTCTGTCATACTCATTCCGTGTGGATAGTTTTTTCTCCAACGATTCATTTACTCTGGTAAGCTTATCATTGAGAACATTTATCTCCCTTTGAAGTTTAGCGCGTTCAGTTTCATCTTGTTGAATCTGTCGCTGTAAATCTTCTCGTCTTTTGCAAAGCTCTTCAAAGCCTTAAATTTCAATAAGTAAGCAAAAAATGCCATACATTTAACAAGTTCATTATTATAGTTCTGAAGTGCAGCTCCTTGGTGAGACATGAGATTGGAATGTTCTTCAGTTAGTACGTTAAAGTCTAAGATTCAAGCAAGTTTCTACTTGCAGTGCTCTAAAGACTGGGCACAGTAGTCTGAAATAAAAATAGAGGAAAACGTAGACCAATTTGGTGGGGATAACGAATGGATAATACGTAACAGTACACAAATGTAAATTGGAGGTAGTCCATCAAAGTAAGGAATACTAGAAATCTCAATGAATATCACAAATACTTCTCACATTTATAGACAAGAACGACCGTGGAGATTATTAGTGTACAAAAATGGATTCAGGGGAATCTATTGAAATGAAAGGACAGAATGTCGAACTTGCAGACGGACGGAGAGCAGTAGAGCGTACCGTGCGCTTTCATTGTCATGACACTAACAAACACATTCAAGGTATTCAAATAGATCAACTGGTTCTCGAGAAAAGCAAGAGCTCAATGAAAAAAGTTTTTCGTTTAGGTCTTTTACGACCAGCATTTTCGCCAAAAAGTAGGTGCAAAGTTCCAAAAAGGATTCAGGTAGTATGCTGAAAGATTCAAATGGTTCAAATGGTTGTGGACGGAATAGAAAAAGCTTTCGCTTAACAGGCTTCCGTGTCTAGTAGCAGGGGATCACCAAATCCTCCAGGCAGGAACCTAGGTATGTTAACAATAAAAGAGGAAAAGAAATTGGTAAATCATAGTGCGATGCTGTCCTTGGTCCTTAAGAATAGGTCAAGTTGCCTCTTGAAGGACTCCTGAGAAGTCGCTTGGACTAGCTCGGCCGGCAGCGAGTTCCAGCTTTTGACAACTCTTAAGGAGTAGAAGTTGTGTCTACATTCCGTCTTGCTATGTTGTGTTTCCAGTTTCTGGGTGTTACCCCTTAGGTTATTGTTCGAACTAAGCTTAAGTAGGTGTTTAAGAGGATGTCCAGAAGTGTTAAGAATACTATAAGCCATTAATAAATCACCTCTAAGACGCCTATATTCTAGTGGGTAAAGGTCTAGTGAACGAAGGCGTTCTTCGTAAGGCTTAGATTTGAGTCCTCGAACTGATTTCGTGGCTCGCCGTTGGATACGCTCCAAAGTGACCTTATCCTTTTGGAGTGAGGCAAACGTTTAAATACAGATTAATTTCTGTGTTTTCAGAGATTATGAGGATCATGGAAATGGTTATAAATAATTCTTTTCGATTCTAATGACTCGAATGCTCTATTCTATATAACTATGAATATGTATTTCCCCCAGGTGGATCATATAATTCAAGCCTATTGACCACCTGGAATATTTGAACACTTAGTGGAACATAATTGTACCATGCATATGACCCAACAATATTTCCATTTGGCAGTTGACAGAGCTGGCCACCAAATCACTAGCACAAGTATGAGATCGCTAAGCACTAATGTGTGTTTGATTTAGTGGTTACAAGTTTGTTTGATGGGAAGATTCGAGAATTTTAAGTCGGAAGCTTCCATCCCTAAGTTCGTGAAAATACAATATATACTGGGAGTTTACCCCTTAGACCCCCGGAAGGTATGACGAAAAAGCTAAATCCTTCTCCCAAGATCCTGATACTAATAACCAGTTTAGAATTATCATCCGATAAGAAGAGAATTGGAACGTTGAAGTCACTCAAAAATCGTCAAAAGAAAGTCCTCGGCCAGAAATATGTTCAGCAACCGGAGTTTAAATAATCCTTACTCTGCATAACCTCCCTGAAACCATGGATTTTTCAATTGTTACCCTTTTGCATTACTGTTTAGGTAGCTAGTGAGTTAAAGACAGTCACTGAATATTGCAGTCAAGCCGTGAATCGTGTTGAAAGGAATGTCTTTAAGTAATATGCCAGCAATGTTTATATACATAGTCTAAGTTGCTACGCTCATACTCAAATCACCAGAACGTAATTCCTTTCGAGACGTGAAACTATACGAAGATTCGATGGTGACAACTATCGTGCCAGGTGATTCAAGAGTTGCCTGGAATAGCCTTAGTAATCGTGATGAGGCAAGGAGTTGAATGACACGATTGACGAGTGCACTGGCTGGGGTAAGTCTTTCTGAAACGCACCGTTACTGTTCAAGAAGTAATAACATTCATCTATTCATCTGTGGTCTAGAGACTTTGTAAATGGTCTTCTAACGATTATTTGGTTTAAATATTCTCCGTAATACATAATTCTGTTAAATGCCTACTACAGGTTGTTGGGACAGAATGAACAATTAAACTAGACATAGTACAGCTGTTTACTAAGGCAAAATAATTGGCAGTCAACTCCGAATAAATGTTTCAAATCCGGACATACAAACGATACCACCAACAATTAGCTTAACCGAAAATGTATTGAATGAAAAACACATGTACAGTCATTTGGTTTCGTTGTGTATTGCTCCGTACAACTTCCGACAAAATATTACTCGGCTATGTTGTAGTTATGATGGATGAAGTAGCTTAATTTGATGGAGCAAACTGGGTCCAATACTATGTATGTAGTTTCATTGTTGTCCAACCACACATTCATCAAAGCCGAAGATGCCAAAACTGATAAGATCCGCATTAAACAGATAAAATTATAGAGATAGTTTGAAATGGTGAACATGGAAACAATTGATCGGTTTGGTATGGCTCTGCTACGCTAATAAGATAGAACTTCCTCAGTAATTATTGAACTAGGACATTCAATTTCTTGGTTTACCAGAGTATTTAGCTGGTGAATTTTAATGGATTTGTACTCCCTGTAAAATGTTTCATTTTCGTTCCGTAATGGTTTTACTTTTGGAAACGCAAATCGATTAAAACATACGAAAATAGCTTCAGTGGGATTACAAACACCAAAGCAGAATTTAACACAAAAAACGACATCAACACTGTTTTCCAATGAGTCATCTGTAAACTAATCCCAGCTTGTCATATGAAGCATGTTTTTGAGATGTTGGATATTTTCTTCTGATAAATTTATGTATTTAACTTTCTTTTCCTGACACAATAATATGCCCTTTGCAAGCCTGCTATGTAGTCTGCGTAGAACACTGATAATGCAGTGAACAGAACAAAACGAAGTGTGTTTATAAGTCATATATTTTCCAACGCCACTATTTAATGAAAACTAATTCTAAATGGACATCCGAATGAGTGGGAAAATCGACTGAATTTTAGTGATACAGTGATGAAAGAAAGCTACTATCACTTAAATTAAATTCCCCATATCTAAATGAAAGCAAACCTTTGAAAGTAGTAACAGAAAAATCGGTGAATTTTTCGTGCCGGTATGTACCACCCGTTCTATTCATATGAATAACCAGACTAGTAGTGAATAGGCCTTTACTTAAATCGTGATACAAGATAAAATGCAGCGCCAGGTTACCCGTTTTAGACACACAGTTTTCCAACAAACAATACGACATAATAGGAAATATAATCTCCATACAGGATAAGGATTTGAATGAATACTGGAGCTCTATTGATTCGACATATACTCAGATGTTTGAGGTCAATTCTTAACATATCAACCTATTTTGTTACAAATTCATCAACGGAAACAAACAGCGCAGATGAAATAAAGCCGTGAGTCACGTAAATGTATGTAACAAACAAAATTGCATATGTTCCAGCGTTTTGGACGAAATCATAAGTTTAAACTGTCAACTATTTATTCTGAAAACTAGCAAAATTAGGTGGACAGCATTTCAAGTATACAAATGTACAGAACAACGGTCTATTTCGGAAATCAGTGCTACATTAATAATAGACCTAATCGTAAATTGTGGATTCGTAATGATGTTGAAACCTAATATATACGACCTTACGTGTAGGCCACATCATTATCTATTCCGAGTCGTCGTACCGTAACAATCAGCGATATAACGTTTGACGTTTCTTAAGAACACATTTACGCTGTAGATAGAACAATATATTTGATATGAATAAAAGAGATAGGCTACACAAGAGCCAACACGCCTGTAAGGCTGAGCCATACCAAACGATTGAATTGAATGAATGTTGCCGCGTCCTTTGCTGTTAACCTTCTCCTCGAGTTAATTGATTAGTATAAAAGATTCTGGTAATGATATACTCGGCTTCAAATGTCATGTAGTTAGGGTCCAATGCCACTACAAATATAGTTACACCGCTTCACACTTTCTCAGTGGTGCTATTTCTCAGTTTTTCCAATCACAAGATATTTTAAACATACTTCTATATTAACCCTTATAGCGCAGCAACTGAATTATGTGACGCATATCTTAATCGCCTCAGCTCATATTCATAAATCACGATTACAAAAGTGATATACTTTCGAGTTCTGGTCATTAACCATACTGTTACCAGAGATTTTCAACAAATGTTTTGTAACTATATCAGTTTTGGTAATAAAGTGCAAAAAAATTAGATAGACTTTGAAAAAATGTATAAGAATTTTTATTTCGACGGTAGCACTACTCTTTAGTCTTTTAGTAGCTTGCCTGATAAGCCGTGTAATAATGGGTTAAGTTTCCTTATTATTCAGGTTAGCGCTGACAACATTAGAACTTATAATTTACAGAATGTATCAACCTGTGTTCAACACTATCGTGGATTTTTGAAATTTCTGTGAAAGGACATATTCAACACATGTTTCATACTCCCAAATGTATTCCATTGTATAGGAAAGTTTTTTTCACTGAAGAATGAAAGGTAGAAAAATTAACTGACTTACGCCCTTAACCGAAGACTAACAAAAATTCGGCGCACAGTTTGTGCGTTCAAGGTCAGAACAAGGTTGTTGTGAAGTCTTGATAACTACGATGAAGGTTATTGGCAGGGAGCTGAATAAAAACTCATCTGGATATATTACGCTTATTGCAGAAAATGAGGAGGACATGTGGTTAACGTACAACTTAGTCCAGGTTGGAGATAAAATGAGATGTTCTACGGTCAGAAAGGTCCAGAATGAATCTGCAACCGGTAGTGTGCAGACGAAGCAAGTGAGAACCAACCTAACAATAGAGGTAGAAAAAATTGACTTCGATTTGCAGGTGAGCATCAAGGGTGTTCCTCATCATTGTTCATCGAATTTCGACTCATTATATTAATCAGTGAAGTCTAAAATTCAGATATTCGAAATGTGAACTTCAAGGGTTTTTTAACGGTGTGTAAACCTACGAGTGACAGGTATTGAGGAATATTATTGGATTGAGGTTGATATGCTTGACTGGGAGCTTAAACAATGAAGTTGTCGTGAAACCTTGTTTTTCCTTTGGCTCAGCTAACACTAGGTGTTCAATTCCTTCTTCATAGTTTTTAGTAACAATTTTCACAGCAAAATCTTGAAATAAATGACGTATACGGTTTTGTTTTCAGACCAACGGAAGTCTTTGAAATGGTTAGAACATTGCGAAGTAAATTTGTTTGACGTAATTTCCAAAATGTATGGTGCTTAACAACGAATAAATTATTAGGATGGAAACGGCGTTTCGGCGTTGTATGACAAAAAGTGTTACTATTTGAACTTATCGGAATAGTCAATTAACTGATGACAGAATATTTCAGAAGATTCTGAATTATCCGTGTTAAAACCCTCGTCCCGCTTTACACATCGATCAGGGCTTCGCTTTCATTGCCGAGTTTATGACGGCCAATAAATACATAATATTCGTTGGTCCTAGATATTTGATCATTGTTATTTTTAAGACATTGCTTTCATAAAGTGGGACCACTTAGTAATCATTAATAATGTAGTGGTTAGTAAACTTGGTAAATACGGGTAGAATACTCGAATCTCATGGAATTAGTTGACAGTTCGTTCCAAAAAGTGTAAGGTTTACATTTTGCAACCAAAATGCTCATTCGCTCTATAAAACTAACAAAACGTCTTGCGTTCACATCCTAAGCGTATCTCCTGATTGCGTTAGGTCATTTTGATGTTTGTCTTTTATCGCCTACATTATATTGGCAATTTATATTGAAAGTATTTTTTCTTAAATAGGGTTCAGTACTTCACTTAAAAGGTCGCAATGTGGTAGAAAATCAGTTTGTCAAAATGGGCGCCTACCACACATTAGACCTTAGAATCGATGAAAAGTTTACTATCACTAAAACAGAATGGGATAGTGTTGCAATTATGCTTGTCGAACAGGCATCTGACCCAACACAACAAGCTGATCTTGCTGCAGTTATCATGCACGAAGGCCTGGCTTATGTTTGTTTGATAACAAGTACAACAACTATTGTTCGTGCGAAGATTGATACTACAATTCCACGCAAACGTCCAGGTTTACCTACTGCTCAGCACGAAAAGGGTCTGTCACGCTTTTTTGAACAAATAATGCAAGCACTAGAGCGTCACATTCGTTTCGACAGTAAGCTTTTGCATCACATTGCATTTACTTTTGTGTTATATACCTTTATGCATTTGTTTCTGTTCAAGGATTTCGAAACCATATTGCTTATTGCCTCAGTTATAAATATTAGTGGAATGATTTCGTAGTGGCTGAATCAGTTAAAGCGTAAACATTGGCTTCTTTACTGGAACCCGGCCACATCAACTTCAATCCAAGCACCTAAGCACTATTATTAACTCTTACATAGGAAATGTAGCTCAAAGCTTGATACACTAAGACCGATACGTCGTGAATGAGTTATATGAATTTATTAAATCCTTTGATATTATAACTTTCCTATTTGAACTACAACTACTCCCCTCCTACAGAATATATACACAAAACTTATCACTAGATGTTAACTTAAGTGATATTCCAATCCTCATCAATAATCCTATCCCTTCAATATGAAGAATCATAAATGGTTAATTAACTTAATACTTACTTGTGTGTTTTATTTTAGATTAGTGTTATTTCAAAGCGATCGAATGGTTGTTGTATAATTCATCCCAAATTTTAAATAGATTTAGTTTCAAAAGGATATAAAGAAAAGAATAACATTTGTGTTTCTAACTAATGCCGTCACTTTTTTTCTCTCCGCTTTTTCAAACTATCATTTAATGAGTTAATACTGAATAAATTCAGTCAGCTAATCAGTCTTAGTTTGTGTAGGTCTTAGGACAAATTAATAGAGTAAAAAGCAAAAAGAAAGAGGGAGAATATTCATTATCATAGAAATATGGAAACATGAAAGATACTGTTGTGAAAGGAATATATAGGATCAAAGAATGGAAATTGGATGATGATAATTAAGTCAGGATTTAGAGGAAATGGAGAATTAATTTTACTGCATTGTTGCTGTCTGTTTTAATATAACCTAACATTCGAAACTATCGACTACAACTTCCGTACAATTCCTGACTAGGACGTCTGCACTCATAGTTTTGACTTAAACTAAAAGTCAATGAATTCATGAATTAGTATCAGATATTGATACTGAGATAATACAAATATATAAAATAAAACAAAACTACGTAGAATATGTACTAGGTGCTCTGCACCTTCTTACATGAATAACAACCAATAATTTCATGGATTGGTGCTATTTCTTAGTTTTTCCAATCACAAGGTCTTTTAAACATACTTCTATAATAACCCTTATAGCGCTTTAAACTAGGCAGCAACTGAATATATGTGACGCATATCTTAATCGCCTCAGCTCATAAATCCTCGTAATCCCATCAACCAATTCATCACTTACTTGTAGTTCTGCATACAACATCAACATTGCCTATTTGGTGAATTCAACATGCATAAACAAGACTTTGAGGGCGCATGTAACCAAGTACTTACAGTTTAGGTATGTCTTCCACATTCTAGCCCATCCACGACAAGTGTGATATAAAAAAAGCGAACTGTCGTTCAGCACTTTTCCTTAAGACCATTGATGACTTCACTTACATCAGAATTCTCATCAATTCTCGTAGATAAGAATCTGATGGTATCTCGACACATATTTAGAAATGTCTGTTGGCTTTTGCCAGCGTGCGTCATTTGTGGCGTTCCACTTTACAGGTGTGAAACGTGACCATTAAAAGTAGGGGATGTTCTTAGGTTACTAAGATGCAGTCATAAGTGTCTTTGAAAAAATATTCACCTGTTTGAACTGTCGAGTGAGGAATATTGAGGTTAGGCATGGGTCACTAGTTAAAAATGATAAACCGGCTGGTGAGGTAGTAAATCCATACCTACTGAGTCGATTGGGATATGCAATAATAAATATCCACAGCCACCGCCTTCCTCAACCGGTGATTTTGCCTGGTATAAGATTCAGGTGAAACAAAGCTATGAACAACCAAACCAAAACGTGGCATCAGCCTATGAAATTATTGGAATTTTTGGACTGAGTTTTAGTGATAAGTAGAGATTACCTGGTTGGGGTGCGCATAATTATCAAAATTAGTGATTGAAGATGTTGGGTAACATGACTCTGAATCGTTCGTAACGGCGCAGATACATGCACTCTTTGTCTACCTTTAGATACAGAGTCAGAAAAGTCTATACTTTCTTCTATCCTTTCTATACTTAGTCTTTTCTGCCACCGATACTACTATTGACAATTACTACTTCTACTCTTCGACAATTTCATCTGGTTGTGTTAATGTGAATCGATAAATATATTTGCCAATTTCTATGTTGCATATAACTGAATGACTTCATCTCTACACTACAGGTAAAGTAATCCGATTTGAAATGGTTTGGATTATCATGTTATTGATATTTTTGGCTGAAATTTGATCAGTTTTAGTTGGTATGTGGACATTCTGTGCGGATTGCCTCGATATAGCCATTATGACAGGTTGATACAGAACAGATGAAATGTAGCTAGCAGATGAGTCAAGGGCGCTCATCCTGTTTTATTTGGGACTTATCAGCTGGGTGTCCTGGATTCCAACGTTAGCCGCATTCCATCTATTCTATATCAACAGGTAAAGTTACCAAAGATCAAATGGCCATTTTGCAACTCTGCTGATTTACTTGGAAACTTTGTAATGTCAAGTCCCTAAATAAAACTACGTACCTGAAATAGAGTTCAAGCTTTCTTAATTACTGAATGTATCCAATCACATACTTCTATCCTACTATGTTTTTTTATTATTACAAAAAAAACCATAGTACAATCGAACATCATAAAATCCCCCACACCAAACAACAGGTTAATATTTTGTAAATATAACAGAGTAAAACTGATAAAATCAGTAAAGAAATTTTAAGAAACTAAGAATGCCGTGTGTTAAAATACACAGTTCAAGTGAAACTTTAATCAAAACATATATGATTCAGTATAAAGTATGTATGAGCCACTAGAATGATATGTCTTTGAAGTTGGCGGAACCATTAATTTATCGCTAAAGTCTCTTTCTTTAAAACTACAGTCCTTATCTACAAAAATCTTGATACCAAACCAGATATTATGATCAAATTATTTGCACCTAAATCCTTTGATGCTTCTCAAACAAAACCCTTAATTTCATTTTTTTTTGTCAAATTTAATTTAGTCGTCAAGTGTATCATATTAGCCAGTCCTGGATTTCTACGTGAACAATTTTTTGAATTTATGATCCAGACAGCAACAAGGCAAGAGAAACGTGTATTCTTAGAAAATAAATCAAAATTTATGCTTGTTCATTCTTCATCCGGTCATAAACATGCATTGAAAGAAGTACTCACAGATAGTGTTGTTATGAGTAAACTAGTTAATACAAAAGCAACATCTGAAGTTACGGCATTAAATGACTTTTATCAAATGCTTAAAACAGATCAATCACGTGCATTCTATGGGTATGTTGTATTGTATAAACATTTTATAAACTTCATTTATAAATTAGTGATAATACAACATTCCCTTTTATTTGTAGTATATAATGATCAGCCAGTCAGTCGATTGTAGATAACATAAGACAACCCCAGTATAAATATATCTTTTACCTCGTATTACCACATTTGGAAGTGTTTTTTTAGATATCAGAAAGATTCTGACATGTATACACTTTAAATTTCTCATAGTAATTGAGTCGTTGTGTTCACTAATCTTCCTGTTAGGAATCATTAGTGTGTTTATATTTTGTAGAACATAGTCGTATGATTTATGTATAGGGAAGAGAATTTTAAGGCAACTTTTAAAGTCTTCACAACCAGTTTAGTTTCATAAATTGTTTTGTCACAGGAAGATCATTTGTCTTCTTGAAAATGCACAGTTGTGATATTATTGATTAAAGCACTTGATTTCTTTAGGTCTCAAGTTTGAACTTCACTTTATAATACCTTGATCTATACAGCTGAGTAATATTACCAGCATTCATATAAGCAAAAGTTAACTCGACTCTGAGTAAATAAACTTATCCTTGGTAAGTAAATTATATCAATGCTAGTTGACATCCTGTTTATATTTTGTCGGACATCTATTTCATGTTAATATCATAAAGAATTTCCCTTGCACTTGAAATGCGTACATCGATATTCCATTGTAGATGTGAATTGTACATGGTTATATGGACCAATTACTTACGCCTGTTACTCCTCGTGGAGGAGCATATGCCGCTTATCAGCACTCTCCATCCAACCATGTCCTGGGAAATATATGAACTAGTACTTATCTTGAACTAATAAAGGTCAATAAAGTCGCAAATTGAGAAAGTTACTGTCTGTAATTTAATCTCAACATCTAAAATTATTAGCACACCTATATCTGTGTAAACAACTTCAACACCGTGAAAAGCAACCTACAGTAATTATGTTATTTAGTAATTCTCTGGTTAGATGTGACATTGCATTGTCAAAAGGGTGAAATCAAGTCTGCGAAAACCGATTAGTATGATATTGCAAATATGAGTTCATATAGCAAGTTATTGACCGAATGGTGTGTAATACTCAGTCAAATTACATTAATCTGAATTAATCCGGCCGAAATAAATCATACGGAATGTAGTGTATACATATGCCACTTTGGTTTATTTCTGAGGTCGAATAAATCCTTAGCACCAGTCTTTGTTTTTCACTAAACGTCATAGGATTTGGGATGTCAGTGTATCAAGCCTAAGCCAGTTGAACACTCTGAGAGTATGACAGTCCTGAATATAACAAAAGGGATTCAGTTATGCTCTAGTCATGCTAAAACTTGACAGTATTATCCATAAAAATAGGGTCAATAACATTATCAAGATAATCATGCAAAAATGCCCATTTCATAACAAATTCATATTACTTCAGTCAGTAAGTCAAATATTTGAGACTAACAAAACAGAGTCTGACTACTTCAATGATCGTATGATTATTTCCATTGTCATAAACTGTCATCAGTTAGTAAATCATTCAAAATCACTGACCATATAAAATATGTTTCATCCTAGTGTAGAGCTACTCAGTAATGCACATCCATACAGGATTTAGTCACAGTGTGATGTGTGCTATTGATGTCGACAAATATAAGTAGTATATATCATCAATTGAAAGTAAAATGCCTGAAGGCAGAAGGTTAAAAAGATCAAAAAAAGAGAACATGAACAGAGAATAACTGGTGTGGAAAAGAAGGGACAACAAAGTCTGAGATAATTGGTGGATATTCTGCAAAGGAAGTATTTACTGTATGGTTCTTAGATTTTACTAAGAAATTTTGTAACTCTAGACTGCTCGCACGTGTTTTACACGTCATTGGTCCGATCAATAAGTCACTGTCCTCTAATCGGCGGTCACAAGTTATAACAGTTGGATAAACAATATTCGTAGTAGTAACTATCTTACATTTGTTTTTCTCAGTTAATTCATTCAATATTTTTTATTCATTTTACTTATCTAATTCAAACGTAAATTCAGTTACAAACATGTTAAGACGGCTGCTGATGCATGCGCTATTGATACACTACTGATAACTGATGCATTATTCCGTTCACGTAATTTAGAAGAAAGAAAACAATATGTGGAGTTAGTTGACCAAGTTAAAGATAATCAAGGCATTGTACGCATATTTTCAAGCCTACATGTTTCTGGTGAACGTAAGTTTCTTTTTTTATTGTTACATACTCTTACCTAATATAATAGTAATAATAATTTTTGTGTACTGTTCATGCGAAAGCTAAACTGTGTTTGTAGTTGATCATGCATAAAATATCCCAACCACCTCACCTGATGAAGTTCTGAACCGTCACCAACATATTCACTGCTACTTATGTTGTAATCCTCCTTCAATCCTAATATTACTCATTCCGTAACTTCACCGTATGCGGACAATGCTTGGAAAACGTCTATGATCTAATAATAGCAAGCTACGACATACTTTCTACCTTTAAAGATCACTTCTGATAATCGTGAGATAATACACAACAATCTTCTCTGCAGTATACTTACGTTTAATAGGAAAACGGGTATATCGTCTATATCAACCTTCCTGGTGTTTATAACAATGCAAATATATCCAAGCAAAACTACTAATGAAACGCTTATTCTGAACCCATCTATTAAAAACGCCGGGACATTCTCTCTTAAGTGACAATAGCTGTTTCTGTCCAATTGTTATCAATTTCCGTATATCAAATATTAAGTTTAATAATTAAACCACTTCTCATTATTAATTGACGTCATAACCGTTTTGTTTTATTTTCTGAATTTGATTATATAAAAATTTGTAGAGCTTAACCAACTATCAGGTGTAGCCGCAATATTGCGCTTCCCAATACCTGAACCTGTGACAGATGACGAGTCGAATAGTTCCGAAGATGACGATAATTAACTAATTAGTTCTTCTACTTTGTACTCAATGAATTTTTTTCCATAAGTAAACATGTATATTGTGGTTTGTGTCTTTCTATCGATATTATTATTCTGATTTTCATTTTCACTTGCCTCCTTTTTGACGTCCCCATTCTTTGAGTTCGTTGTTAGTATTATTATTTATCTTCTTCACTCTTTAATTGTCCTTTGTGCTGCTTTTACATTGTTGCTGTGCTTATATAATACCGTGCAGCTTAAAATCAGTATCCATTTGTGCCAAATCCCAAGTTCTGTACTTTCATTTGTCTCTCCTGTACAAAATTATATTGAAGTGTTCTGTTTTTTGGTATTACTTAAATTTAAAAATGATTTCGTATTATATCTTCGGGGATAATCTTGACATACGCAGATGAATTCGCTAGTCGGACTTACCATTCCGGATAGGAAGAAATAAAATTATGAAATTTACGTCCTAACCTCTTCTGAATGACAGTAGTTCCCCTTGTTTGAAAATAACCCAGGTCTTCCAAGTATTATTGTGCCAAACTAGCCATCGTTTCAGCAAACAAAACGTAGGACTTTGTAAAAATGTGTGTCGGTCTAAGTTACCACACTACCAGTTGTTAAGTCACCAGGTCTAGTAAAAGTTCTAAGATCCATTAATGTTTCTAGCTATTTTTGACCATCTTGTTGATTTTGGACAGTGATGAGGTAGCGAAAATTCCCATCTGGATGGTGAAAAAGCATCTGAATCAGAGGTTCCTCCTGACTATTTCTAAACACCTGAAACCCCAAATATTCATGTACTATTACTCAAGTGTTTATAAAACCTTAATTTGCCAGCCTTTTCGCCAAAAGATTACTGTCTATTATGAGTGAATTCCACTAAGAGATCAAATACTCAGAAGTTGGGAGAAAAACGTGTTACCTTTAGAAGTGTGTCCATGACAATATTTTCTACAAAGAAGGGAAAGCTAATACCCGGCAATGTAATCGATCCAAATATTAGTTGAGTACAAAATCTAATCGGACTACAATTGTCCAAATAAATAGCCTTCAGCAGGAATGATGTGTGTGACTGGTATCTCTTTCAATGTCTCGTGATCAATGAATTTGAACGACTCCGGATACATGAATATAATTACAGTCGAGCGGGAACTGGTCTATCTGGGGATTTGATGCAGTATAACGTTTTAATCAATGCACCTATAATCATGGTTATGTGTTTAGCCTTATTGGGTCAACTGTTTCTGCATCCTAGTCAAGCGCCAGATGATTACGAAATCTAGCACCTCAATGTATACATCAGTCGGGCTTACTCCTGTGTGGCGATATTTATTTAAGCGCATAAACGTTGGTACAAAGGATCATCAGATATATATGCGCCACACTGTCATTCGATTTGTGCATTAATGATAGCCAGAAATGTATATTTGCTTGACTACAACTTTCCTACGTGTCTCAGTATTGAGACCTTTCGTAATGTTTCAACTCTTAGTTTGAGAGTGAGGTCAATATACAAATGGAGACCGAACGCATCTGTACACTGGCCAATGTCACTGAAATTCAAAACCAATAATCTATTTATTATGTATTTGTCCATTTAAACACAATTTACATCAACAGACGTTTTCTTAATGAGTTCCTCTTGGTAGACTAGAATATTATACATACTGAAGTCCTTCTATGATCCATTATTCAAAATATATTTGAGATTAAGCAAAATAGGTCAATATATTTAGATTATGTTCAATATACATGAACCATGCCATAAATAAAAGTCCAAAATAAAATATAAGTAGTTAGTTCTCCGAAAACCCCTCCATACGTTAAACACGAACGCTGAATAAAGTATTTGTTCCATGATTTTCCTGCCTTTTGTAACAGTAACAATGATAGGAAACCATGCGCCAGAAAATAAAACATAAATCCCATGATTCCTGCAGATTGCATTAAGGTATTAATAATAATCTTACCTGTCAAACCTAATATCCCGACTGTACATCCAGAAAGTGCCGCGATAGATATGCGACAGTAGTTAATCAAAGCAAGGTTATGTTGTGCAGCAGCGGGACTGTATGTAATTAAATCTACTGGAGATCCCATTTAGTAGCTTTTTCCCTTTTTAGCTGTAGAAGTATTTCTTGAGGACACTCGGTATATAACTGGTTTAGTTTGCTTCCACTCCCCGTTTACTTCATACAGAAGTAACCAAATATAAGTTTACCTGGTTTGATCCAAAAATACGGACAATTAGATATAAATCGTGGTTGTTAATATAACTCGAAAATATTTAAATGCTTACGATCGTTGATACATAAGTAAAGACGATAAGAACATGACAGTTCTTGCATTGTCAACCATAACATGCTACAACATCATTCGTAAATTATAAAGTAGCTGTGTTATAGTATACGATTAAGTCTACAATGTTGCTATTCAGGCCACTGTAATTACTTACGACATAGAAATTACGGATATTTTCACATAAACAATGGGCTTCTGATTTGATAAGTATAAATCAGCTATCCATAATTTCAGATTTATTAGTGGAAAATGTATAGAAACATCGAAGTTACATAAAAAAGGTCACTTGACTCATCCTCCACTTTCTTCACACAGTTTTAAACTTAAGTATGAAGGAAGAATTCAAAAAGGTAAAACTTATTATTCCATCATGAGTTTATGCAGTCGCGCTTTCCGGAGCTTTTGCAAAGTCAGTCAGTAACAACGTAGAACCTCGTACGTACGTACATCAGTTCGAGTTGCTACACCACATTAGCACAGAGATGCAGTTGTCGATTCAAATCCCGTAGTGGTAGAGGTAATAAGAGTATAAGCAGTAATCGGGAAGATTAGTGTTTGGAGATGTTACTTAAATAGTATAATACAGTGAAATAAATTTAGGAAGAGAAAAAAAAGAGACAAGGAGATCAAAATTTGGGAGAACACAAAGTGTATGCACCTGCGCCATTGCAAACGATTTTGAGCCATATCATTCAGGGTCTCTAACCATCGGTTGCTATTGTCTCGCGGATCCCAACCAGGTAGTCTACACCTACCAACATGACTCAGTCTACTTGTCAGTGACTTCATGGACTTGTGCCATGTTTTGGTCTGGCTGCCCCTAGCTTTCTTCCAACCTATTCCTATACGACTGAACATCGCACGTCGAGGAAGTCGGTCGTTGGGCATACGTCACACGTGTCCCAGCCATCTCAACTGATGAAGTTCCACTACTTCATCAATCGATTTGCCATCCTTACCTAGTACCCGTTTCCTAACAACTGCTTTACTTACTCCATGGTCCCAGGATATACGAGCAATATTTCGAAGACACCTATGATCAAATACTAGTAACCTACGAATATGCTCTACTCTTACCGGCCATGTTTCACTGCCATAAAGTAGGACGGAACGAACTGCTGCGCAGTAAACACGACCTTTGGTTGATAGACGTATATCTCGCCTACGCCATAAATGACGCAAGTTGGTAAAAGCTAATCGAGCCTTCTGTATCCGTGCTGAGATTTCGTCACACACCAGACCACAAGGGCTGATGAGACTTCCAAGATAAGTGAGGCGATCGACACGCTCAATTACTTCACTCCCTATCATTAGTTCGGGTGTCCATGCAACCCAATCCTGAAGCAACATTTTGCATTTCGAAGGGGAGAATCGCATTCCGAACATGCTTGCATTGTTGCTTCGAGTGGTCAGAAGACTCTACATTTTGTCAGAGTCTTCGCCAAATAAAACTATGTCATCAGCATACTCTAAGTCAACAAGTGAACCTCTTGGTAGAAGTTCAACCCCTGGAAATCTAGATAAGGAAAGTGTTATCTCTAAAAGTGCGTCAATGACAAAGTTGAACAAGAATGGAGAGAGTGGGCAGCCCTGATGAACACCACTTGAGGTAATCAATTCTGATGACAGTTCGCCATAAGCTCTCACTCTACCAGTCGTGTTCGAGTAGAGAGCCTGTATAACGTTAATGTACTTCTTTGGTACTCCTTTCAGTGACAAACACTGCCATCGAACCTTACGATCGACAGAGTCGAATGCTGCCTTAAGGTCGAGAAATACTACTATTGTGGGGCGTCTGAATGTGTGTCTGTGTTCTAGAGCCTGACGTAGTGTGAATATGTGGTCTATACAACCACATCCAGGTCGAAAGCCAGCCTGGTTTTCTCTAGTCTGTTCTTCACGAACTTTGGTTAGGTGTCGAAGTATTATTGAAGCTAATATTTTAGACACTATATTAGTCAAACTGCTTCCTCTGTGATTGTCACAAGGGGACTTTTGTCCTTTCTTATAGACTGGCATAATCAGTAATTGAGACCAGAGAGATGGGATTACGTCCAGTTCCCAAATTCTACCTAAGACCTCAGTTAATCTCACTGCTAATACTGAACCACCATCCTTAAAAATTTCAGGAGTAAACCTGTCAGGGCCTGCTGCTCTCCCTCGCTTCAGATTTCCTATGGCTTTTTCAACTTCGTAAAGAGACGGAGGACCTACATTAACTTCCCATTCAGGTTGACTGGAGATCGTGGGAAACCGAAGTATGGCTGAAGGCCAGTTGAACTGGTCCCCAAAGTGTTCTGCCCATCGATCCAATCTCCTGGATTGAGAATGTATAATATGTCCATCTTTCTCTGAGAGAGTTTCGCTAACAGTCGGTTTCCTTAACAAGTCTGAACAATTGTCTGCTATTACCTATTGCCGCTCCTTTCCGATCTCTCTTGCTTTCGCTACCCACCACTGTTATTATTATTATTATTATAATGGCTTTATTCAATATTATAGTTTTGGTACAATATAGAATTCTCAGCACAGGTTATTTCAACAAGTTGCTTACGCAACAAAAAAACACAGTAACGAATACAAAAAAAGAGAAATGTCAGCTTGCGCTTAAGCTGAACCATGGTGGTGAGTTTTTCGGCCCCTTTGGTATAGTCCAAGGGATATGAGGTGTGGTAACTTTTAAGTATGAACTTCGAAATGCGTCCCAGGCCGTTCAAATGGAGAACTCTGGGTATATTGTCTAATCTATTAACGATGCTGAGTGCATGATGTCTTGTATGTTTGCTTTCCGGACGCTGGGTCTGGACTGGACTGACGCGTGCTCGTGACTGGCAGCCTAGGTTTTCCTATTAAGATTTCAGCGATCTGGACGTCATAACCAAACAAATTGCATCAGTCATATCTTAAAAAGCACTCTCACAAAAAACTGAGTTCTAACCGGAAAACGTACAGCAAAAGATGACGTCTGACAAATGACAGAAAGGTCATTAAGTCTGTAGTGTAAAAATCGGTCAGTCCCCCAATAGGATGAGTACAAATGCTTAGCTTAATTAGTATCCAGCTGACTATAATCGTCCAATTAAGGATATTGATTCAACCGACAATTAAAGCAATAACCTTCAAAACAACAGTTTGAAGTTAAGCTATTCTAAATAACCCTCGCACTTGAACGACCTACACCGGATATATTCAAAGCGATCATCCTGTACTTGTGGAACTGCTTTTCAACATGCTTTAAAATGATGGACGACTGATCAAATATACAAACATTTCCTAAATGTTTCTTGCAACGGTCCAATAATATTCTGCGAGGCACTTCTTTGCAACAGTCAGTCGGCGCGCTTTTGTCAATTTGCTGAAGGGGTATAGACTAAGTAGCCATACGAACTTGAAACGAAATGAAATCGGGCTGCTTAAAGTATTATTTAAATCCTCTTATGAACTGGATACTGATGAGACTGTGGAGATAGGTCTGACAAGCTTATTTTGTAAATAGTTTTTAATATTATTTGTGTTTATTTTTTCAATCTTTCACTGTCTGTATATTTATCATTAGATGATTGTACCTGTCGTTTTAATAAATGACCTTGAACACTTTCTGTTGCAATGCTGACGTAGCGTGACACACTTGTGGTTGTTCGCAAATACACTACTACGTACACACTCCTTGTTCTATTCTTACTCGTTATCGAGCCATTTGCATTCTAAGTCGAATATTATCCACATTTTAGACTGTTGTGCCATTACTATTACATCCCACGTCAAAGGAAACTTACTGGGGTCATATTTACCTCATCGGAGTTATTACTGATTTATAATTGTGGATTTTGGTACCAAAACTCAACGGAATGCGCGACAACTAGCTGATTTAAGTAACGTCCCTGAACATTTATTTGTGTTACTAATTTACAAGTTGTTATTGTTACATTACCCTTTGGACGTGATAACTTTACTGTTAATTTTTTGTTTTGTATACTTTTCGGTCCACCACAAAACAAAATTTTAAAATTGAGAAGCGCGAAATACTCGTGCCTCGACTCCTCGTAAGTCTAGTGTTGTACGTAGAAAAAAAAGGAATTCTCCAAACGCTTTTATTCGTATGTAAATCAAAAGACTAAAAGAATTGTAAATATTCCAGCGCTATGGGGGACAGTAATACTTCATCACTAGTGGAGGTTGACTTTGGAAAACCTGAAGTATTCTCAAATTTATTTAGTAAAATATATACCGTAGAAGCGCCTGAAGATGCAACAGGTACTTGAAATTTTGACAACACTTTAACCAGTAACACCTGATATGAATCGTACACATCAAGTGAAATCAGAAGACAGAAACAAGGAGGTTCGAAGACATAGTTGATAGGCTATCAATATACCATGGATCGCCTGGTCTAATTAGGCCAGCGATTGCACGGGATGTTGGGCTCAGCGTTCTCGCCTGTGGTTTGGTGCAGATGAATAACCGAGCGCCTTCAGCCAGGTGAGTCTGTAGAACTATGGTCTACTATGATATTAGTACTGCTCTAATAATAGACCTAATCCTAAATTTGTAGATTCGTCATGATATAACTGCCTAATCTATAAGATCTTACGTGGAAGTCACACCATCGACTACGCCAACTCACTGTATCGTATCAATTACCAATACATGGTGAAGAACAAGATTAGTTTAGAGAAGGAACAATATATTTAATATGAATAGAGACCACGCCTGCATGGCCGAGCCATGCCACTCGATCCTACTCCAGTCCATTCAATTCATTGTTCGCGCCTTCTTCATTGTTAGGTATTTCTCGGCGTTAAATATTGAATATTTATTTTCTGAGTAGTCTCGTGTTCACAGCTTTGTGGATTGTGTGGCTATTGTCCAATGCCACTACAAGTCCATTAAAACTAATGTGGTCAGCACCAAACGCCGAAAACTTACAGAGCTACTTATTTTGGGGATTTATTTACCGCTACACGCCCTTCCCGTCAGTCGATACAAATCCCCTAAAATTCACACTGTACAACTCGAGCGCTTATAAGCTCGATGTCGTTGGTCTGCTAAATCAGCTAGACATAGGAAAATTCACGAAAACCTATGAACTTCATTCTAGGTTACTAAAGGAATCAACTAACTATGTCGCAAACCCCATCAGTATATACTTTAATCTATCCGTAACACAGGATCGTTCACAATCCATCTGAATTATCAAAGCTTAACCGACATCCAGAATTACTACAGTCCTGAAGACTACATAATTTTTCCTCTTTGACGAGCTCCAGCGAATCAGCTTGTACCATTTTATCGGAAATGAGCCTAGATAACTGAACACTCGAAGGAGTAGAAATATTGTCCGCTGTCCAGCTCAATCTGCTGTGTTTCTGGTTTCCAGATATTTCCTGCAACATTTGTTTCTGAACTGGACATAGATAAGTTGTAGAATTATGGTGTACTATGATATTAGTACTGCTCTAATAATAGACCTAATCATAGAATTGTGGATTTGTCATGATATAACT